CTACTGCTACTACTTCTACTACTCCTACTCCTACTCCTACTCCTACTCCTACTCCTACTACTACTACTACTACTACTACTACTACTACTACTATTACTACTACTCCTATACCCGTCGGACTGCATCATTCCATTTCCCTTGCGCGTTGCAAGACCCTTAGCCCTCAACGCCAGAACTACCGGGCTGCAGCAGTCCATTTTCTCTACACAGCCTTATAGCTCTTACACCCTTCAGGCCCAAGAATACCGAGATGCACCTGAATCCGTACAAGACGCATGCTGCCGCATACTTGAATATGACAATCTACGACAGCCCCGCCAACCCGAAATGGAACCTCTGCTCCAGATGATACAAACACGTTGGAAAAAACAACCCTGATTTCGCTTATGCTTATCTTGTTGAAGAGAGGGTCCGGGAACAACCTCGTTGTCTGCTAGTAACAAGAGATTGTCGCAACTCTGCTCCCTCTCAACTCGAGCGGCTCACCTGCTCAGCGATGGACTGCCTTCTAGCGACAGTACCTCAATTGCTGCTGCAGCCCACATCGTCACAGCACTGGCTCCTGCAAGATGTATGCACAGCCGTTGATCAAGCTGCTGTTGGTTGCATCGAAGATCGCGAACTTCCCCCCCTCATCCAAGAACTTGATGGCGTCGGCCTGCACTGCTGCTCAGTCAGTCTGTGCTGCTGGACCTTGCGTGCAATATGCTGTCCTGCAAGCTCACTTGCATGTTCTGAGGTTCAGCAGCACACCACACTTCAGGCTGTGCAATTCCAGTAAGGCTCTCACCAAAGCAGTCATGGCCATCTTTTCCCTTGCGGCCTTATTCTGCTATCTGGCTGCACCGTGCCAGCATCGGACTTGCCCTACTAACATGAAGATCTGAACACTGCTGCTGAGAGGCAATTGCTACTAGCACTCTAATCTTCAGCAAGTAAGGCAGTTTCCACTGAGTCTGGATTGTGGTTGTCAAAGAACTCACTCCTCCCTGACCTGCACAGACCATCATGCACATGCAGACGTACTCAACAGAACTGGTCCCATGGCTGTTCCATAGAAGGTAAGCCAGTTACTGTAGAGATTACAATGCGCACGCGCTGCAGGCTCCAGTCATTCCAAAAGAGCAGCCTCTCCGGCATCACTGCATCTCTTCTGTACTTTCCTCGAAACAGAATCAGATGGCAAGTCAGACGGACTAAACGAACCACACTTGTCAGGCTCATGATCCTATTTTGCGAGGGTTACAGACGGCTGAAGCTGGAAAACGAAAGCAAACCAACACATGCCTTCAGATGCACAAAGGTGCTCGGCTGATGAGCAAAACGCAACATTGACAAACTGTGCCGCGAGACTCTTGAAGGCTTTAAGGTGTCGAGCTTTGCTTGGCAACGTATGCCGATGTTACGAAACACCAAGAGTGAAGCTAAGGCCTCAAGCCCATGAACGACAGGGTTCTGCCATTGCTGCACAGGCAAAGAAACCCTTGGGGAAGTGCTCATGCAACTCACATGCTACTCGCTTTCCAACGCACAGGACCCGCCCGCACAGTACCACCAGTGCAGGAATTCTTCCTGTGTCCATAGTATAGAGATGTTGGATACAGAGCTGCAACTGACCGCGATGCCGCGGGCATACTGCTTGTCGCAATGACTCTTTCGACAGCATGGCTTTCGACAGCTATACTACGAGCATAACATGCCTCCTGTCCTGGAGACATGTCTTCAGCTCTTAGCGAGAATGTGCTGTGTATCTCGGCCAAAATGGAAACCTAGAATCCTGAATGGACGCAAGCACGAAGCAACTTTGCCACAGAACCATTGCTGTCGCTCTACTTGCGAGCCTAGATTCCCACGTTGAAAGTCTTGGTCGTGCTGCCACTCCACTTGAGGAAGCGTTCCAACTGCATATGGCAAGCATCTGCTTCCACTCAACAAACATGGCAAACAGCAGGCTCGCATTCCGTCTGTAAAGCTGGGTAACTTTCTGGCGTCATCAACCACGTGGCGTTACACCGGCTTTAGCATGCGACGCTCTATCATCTGCAGCTGCCCTTAGTGGAATAGAGGATACCAAAAGGCCGGAGGATTCAGGCTCGGTTGGTTGTGGGGGAATGGCTCGGTTGGTTGTGGGGGAATTCTTCAAGATGAAGGGCTGGAAGTTATGCTAGTGATCTTGAACTGACCGGGGCTTGGTTTCCAGGTTTTCGGGCTGCCCCAAACAGCCCTTCACTTTCTTGTACTTGCTGCACTACTGTACCACGACTGTACTGGTACTGTGCTAGTGTCTGTACTAGCATGTACTACTGGATTATATGACGTACAATGCCCCATTCCCCACTTAAGAGCACACCACTTTCAAGCGGCCATCTGCCACTACAGGCCCAGGACGCACCACCCCCAAACCCCTCTAAAGAGCCTATCTTCCTCAACCCCCACCTCAAGGTAGCCGGGGGTGGGCCCCGTGAACACACTGTTCAGAACACCGGACAAGGCTTCGGCGTGGGGGGCGGGGGGGTACTAAGCCCAGTGCAACATTATCTTGCATGGCCTATGGGCTATCGGATGTATCGAGCATTCTGGATCGAATCTGACCATGACTCAACTCGGCCAGCCAAAGAACAATGGCAAGGTGCATGCGGCAGAGCAGGTACATGCAAGATGGCCGCACTAGCCCGTGTTTGCCCGTTTAAGTTGGTTGGGGTTGGAGAGATTGATGTGACATTGACCTCATTCACAGACTTATATGAGAATAGTCGTAGTGAAGCAGCAACATTAGCGAGTCCTCGCAGCAGCAGCAGCAGCAGCAAGAGCTAGTAACAAGTATTTCGACACTCCGACTGTTCATCTGCCTGTATGCCAAGGGAACCATAATATTGTAGCTTTTCTGGCCACCACACGAGTACATGTCTGCTAGATTCGCGTGGACATTTTGGCTGTGACGTCGCTGTCTCTCCGGCCTTGCGCGAGATGAAGGACTTTCCTCTTGCTGGCAGGCCCACCATTGCCACTATCTCAGCAAGGCATAGACTACCCTGGACAGCTTCTAGTTCATGCTAGCAACCTGTACTCATCAGGAAAATAGTAAAAAAAAGCATACGCTTGTATTGATTGCAAGAAATCCTTGCGTTTCCGCTACGTGTTTTCCAAAATCAGTAAACTCAGCCGGATGGTGCATAAATGATGCATTTCGCTGTCTAGGAAAGTCTAGCAGCCCTGCTATGAAAGGCGTCATCATTGTTCGTACAGGTTCTCAGCATAGTCACAACACTACGGAAATTTCGGGCGTATGCGGGTATGTTTATTTGGATTTACCACGTGCGCACTTGCTCCCCACCCCCAACGATCCCCAACGGTCCCTGAGTTTTGCATGACTTGAAACAGCACCCCCGCGTGCAACACTAAGCATGGGACATCCACCGAAAAATCGTATGACTATGCCTATGCACACAACAGTCTCTTGCACCACAGGTGCATGGCTGTTGGAGGTGCAATGGCATTAACCCCCAACAGAGGTCCCAGGAACAACGTGACTTGGCAATGATGAAAATGTAGTGACCGTAAGGCATGGAGCACCTATCCTGATAGTCTTAATCTTGAATTTTAGTGTGGTTCGGCCTGCTTGTCAGCACGGGTTATGACAAAAAACTTAGTGAATCTTACTGAGTTGTTGATGCCTTACAAACAGTACAAATGTCTTGGTTTGTAAGAGGTGGAGCAGCAGCGGGAGGCAGTGCTAAAGATGGCTTGGTTCGGCCGCTTCGGCTAGCTCGGCCTGGCGCGGCGGCTTGCCGTCGCACGCACACTTGCCGCTGAAATACTTGCCAACTTGACGAAACGACATCTAGAAGATAGCCAGCTTGCTGTTCATTCACTGTCGGTCTTGCCGCAAATCTCTGGCTGTTGAACAGGTGTTGTTGCATGAAGAGTCTACAATGTTTACAACTTTATGTGCGTGCTCTGTGCTGCAATTTAGAGCACGCGCATGACCACGCTTCAATGTTGAATCAAGTGGATAGCAGCAAACTGCTTTCTTGCGAAAGCTCGTGATGTGACACGCGCTTCGCGACCAAGACTCCATACGCCATTGCGACAACATCCAGGGCTTTTTGTGTCTGTTGATGCCACTCCGTTCACTCTGGCACGATATGCATGAATCTATGCAGCTCAGCTGCAATTGTAGATATTTCTGGATGTCGAACCCCCGCGAGGCTACGTTCGGGAGTCGATTCGCATCGCTTCGAGGCATGCTGGGGGCACAACCAAGCCGCGCGCATCCGGAGTTAGCTGCTCCCGCAGAAGCCTTGAGGAAAACGGTTGTACTCAAGGCTGTTAGTGGCTGTCGCTGTCTGCATGTCAGAATCACCGGGTGCGAAACTGTCGATCTGATCTTATCGCGGAGCCCATATTCTGCGCGCCATTGTAGTACCTGACCGCAGAGACTGCCGTTGCCGATGCCATACCCACAAGATGGCTGCGAATCGCTTGTGCGCGTTGTGCACCACAGCAAGCAGTGTCGACTGTAAACAGCGTAAACCGAGCAGTGAGAGACCAGAGCTTCGGGGCTCCGACTGCGCTGTTTGCGAAAAAAGCTGTTGTAACCGCGATGAGGGGCACGCATCGCCGCTTGTATCGCCTCAGCCACACGGTCACATTATGTCACGTTTGTGCACTTCACAAGTAATCCGTATAATTGGCAAGCTTGCTACTCGCAGGCAGACAAGTGCTTGTGCCGACTTCAATGCAAGGTGATGCTACGTTGATGCTGCATCGTACTCTATCCTGCTGGCGGGCTCACGGCCAAGGGAGAGAGCGCTTCTCTTACCCTGGTGTTGGTCAGCAGATGTTAGGTGGAGCCCCTTTGCTACCGGCGCACTTCTTTATGGCATGCGCTGGGTTCGTGGAATGGAGCAGCTTTGGAAGCATGTCCCTAACTCGTTCCGAGTCTTGGATGTCTTGGCCACGTGGGCTTCAGCATCGCAACCTGAGGCCCGTGCCCGAGTTGGCCATGGTCTCGCTGCGCCCGAACCTCCCACAAGCTGCACAGGAAGTCAGAAGTTGCGGAAAGTGAGAGTGATAGTGAGATGAACTGAGGCATCCGCCTTTGTCACCGCCACTGCAGGCAGGGCAAGGGGTCGGCCATCACACCAGAGGAAGGCAAGCCATTGCACCAAGAAACGAATGTTCAGCTGAATTCATCGGGTCATTGAAACGTCTACTTACCTCTTCGCTCTGCTGGCTCCTTCGGGGGCCCGCTTAAGCAGCAGACCGGCGAGATGTCACGTGTGTCTACAACTTCTCCTTGGGAGAGCTTGTGAGCTCGTGAAAGCCGCCCCGTTTTGGCCGTGGCAAGCAAGCATATGGACAATGTAGAACGGCCTATGCAACGGTCGTCTTCATGTAGTGTGCTACTCGCTCTCAGTCTCAACTCAACTTTGCATAATCCGTTCTGCACATGGGAGCCCTGCCAGCTATGTACAGACTGCTACAGATCACAGTAACCATGGTCGGGCTGCTCCCATGAGGGAAGATTGAATCCTGCATCCTGCCGACCTTGCATGATTTCCGGTCAATTCACCAGCTCAGCTCGGACCTCATAAAGCAGTCTACCGGGAGCGCGGCATCACGAGAGGTCTGGCTCAGTATCCTGAGAGTTTGACAAAGGGCAACGATGCTGCCAAAAGCCATGAAAGATTGAGCCTGAGGTCGTTACAATAAAGACGAAGTAAGTCCCTTCTCCACAATCACTTCCACGCAAATCCAACAGACCGTCACTGACCGCCTCCCGAGGGGGAAACGGCTTGCGAAGCGCGTCACTGATTCATGCGTGCAGTCAGAGGCGTTCAGGTGGTGGCTCACGGCCTTGAAGAAAACAGGTCCCGAATAAGGTCCATTGGGTATACCTGATGTGACGGTGCTCTCCATCTGCGTGGATCGAGTCCAATCACCTCACCGGCACCACGCTGGAGTCAGGAAAGATTCATGGCGCTGACATTGACAACTCCATTGATAACTTGGGCCCCTTCCGGTTTGCAACCACTTACGAACATACCTCACGTGCATCTCGCTTCGGAAGTTGAGATACACAATAACCTTGGTTTGGATTGGCATCGACGCACACGCCCACCCACATTGTCAGCATTCTCTTGCTAGATTCTGAGAGAAACGGGCATGCGAACGTTGAGTCTCCACATGGCCTCGTCGGAAGGAGTCCCCTGAAGCATGCACAGCAGGTATCTGAAGATTCCCCCATTCATGCCCAATCATGTCAACGTCTGCCAGACTCTGCCAGTCCTTGTCGTCATTGCTTGTCATGACATAGCGCATGGACGGCTTGTCAGCAAAGCTGCCCAAGGAAATGAATCGATAGCTTCGATCCTTGGTCTGCGACGCACGGGTCTCGTTTTCGATGTGCTTGAGTGTCGGACACTCAAGCACATCGAAAACGACACCCATGCGTCGCAGAGCTTTAAATTTATTAAATGGGACTATCCGAGCAAATGAGGCTACGTCGAAGTGACAGCGATCGCCTCGGCTGGGGACCGAGTCCAGCAACTTGATCTCACGTCCTGTTAGTGCCTCGTGCAGAACCATTCGGGGACAAACGAGGCATTTAAGAAGTGCTCTGAAGTCTGCGAAGTGTCTCTAGAGGTGCTTCGTAAACTGCGGCTGCTGTTTGACGGTCTGCCAGCCTCCACAGTCACAGCAGGGCCCAACAGCTTGAGAAAGGTCAACTCCTGAGTCTGTTGAATGATGAAGCATGCAGCTTCGTCATCCGTATCGACATTGGAACCAAACTTGAGAGATGATTTGACATATGGACGTCGCCGAATATTCCATGCCCATGCGTAACGGAAGAGGTCCCTTCCCTTGGCCTTCCACTCTTCCCGTATGCGAGGGTTTTTGCACAGTTGGCTCTGCGGCGTTCATCTTCAATCATCAACATAAACGGCGCTCGCCATTCCGGCATTCAATTCTTGTTATTGTGAGCCGAGGGATTGGCCGAGTGAGGGTCGCGAGATGGGCCTTGAGCTTCCGCGGATCTTCCTCGTATTTTCTGTCGGATGCTGGAGATGCCTGGAGAGCAAAAACCTTTGGCTCATGCGCATTGGCAGAAGTACTATCAGAAGTAGTGACTAGTAAGTAGTAAGCGGCTGTAATTGTAAAGCCCTACGCTCGGATTTCCGCGCACCGACGAGTTCGAAGCTTCTCGGAACGACCTTTTGTTAGTAACAAGATTCGCCCCTGGACAAGGATGAAAGAATGGGGCTTTTACAGCAATGAACATATTCTCGATCTACACTGTGGCGTGCAATTTAGACCCTTTGCCTGATGGTACACACGACCTCAAACCGTCACTGATTGACCGTTACCCGAGGCTTCCACCAACATGCTCTTGTCTGTGTCTGGGACCAGGAAATCGCCTCAGGTTGCTGCCCGATGCTGTCTCGCGTCGGGTACACGGCACGCAGATGTTAACACGCGACGAATGATCCATCAACATGAACAACAAGGCCAGAAGACCTAGCATCGCACAGTGCTTGAGCACTGTGGTGCCCAGGCATATCTGAACCAATTCGGCCTCGGTGTCTGCCATGGCTCCTCGGTGCAACCACTCGTCACGAGGCGAAGACACAGCCGTGAATTTTCAATTGTCAGGAGTCGGATCTTCGTCACGAGGTGCTTGACCGGGGTTCTTGACTTTGCCTCTGGCTCCTGCAGGGAAATTCAGCACCCATACTATCCCATACTTGTACAAAGAAAACACATCCGAAACGCCCTCGTAGCATGCTCCTCCAGAATGATCTCGCCACTCATGCCTGCAGAAAAAAGGAGAAGACCGATGTCGGACAAACAGTAAGGTCTCCCGGTTTCCGCAAAGCTGCAGGATTATTTCGTCGAACATGTTCCCGGCCTCTAACCACCACGCATACGGTCTCCACACCCAACTGGTCCCACTGCTCCTCAATCGCAACATCTGGCATTCACTATTTCTTTTGATCCATCCAGTGGTGTCAGCCAGTCAACAGGATTGCGTGCGCCCGAAAACGAAAGCATTGTCAGCAGCTTCGGGTGCATTGGCGCATGCACAGTTTCTTCCGGTACCAGGGAGTCCTGCAGCACTGGTGCTCGTTTGCAAACCTGCAGCAAAGCTTCAAGGCAAGAACAGTTGCTTTGAACTTCTGCGTGCTCTACGGGAGCAGCACTTTGCTCTGGTCTAATTTAGTTCAACGTGGCATTGCAGATCTGCAATCTCGCGGGTGTCACTGAAAGACGAGTCGTGGTTGTCATCCCTTCCGGGATAGACCGGATGAAAATGCCCAAAAAGGTGCACCAGCAAACATCATCCGTGCTGGAAATACATCAGTAGCAACCCTATTGCATCCCAATCCCGCTACTCGCGACTTGTCATACTGCTTCTCCAGCCAGTACAGACGACGCACAGGTTGTGTGGAATGTCTCCCATGCACCTAGCGATCAATTCAATTTGCCCACCGCTGCTTGTGATCCCCTTGCCGCGGCATGGTGGTCGCAGCATGTCGCATGATTCTTAGTTGATAGTTGGATGCTCTATGGATTTATCACGCATGTGAGATGATGTTAAAGAGCTGGATGCTGCTGTTACTACTGCTGATGCTGTTGTTGCGGGCGATTACCGACAGCTATTGGCTGCGTCCGGCTCAACTTGCTCGAACCTGCTTCGGCTCATGACACACCCAGCTCACACAATGAAGGCCTTGTCGCGGAGCCGAGCTGCCTTGTCCAGCAGCAACAAAGGCCGTCCCTCAATGCGATGCACCTGCAGAGCATGGACATCCGTTCAATGAAGGTTTCAAAGCGCATTGCGCAAACGTTGCTTACTTAGCTACGCCCAATGCCAATACCCATTCCGCCAAACATCGATCACTGCCAAAGCCAGGCAACTAGCGTCACGTTCGCTTCTACAGGACTCTCCAGCAATACTTGTTGGACTGGAGCCAACGTGCGCGACATGGCAGTTCGTGCTGACCCTCATCCAACATCCAACACCGAACAGCACAGGTAGGGACAGACTTACTGCAACGAAGGTCATGTCCAGCACCTCGTCAGCATTTCCGCGCAGGAGAATCTGCCAAGCCAGAGTCAGAACATGCAGCTCATCACAGATGAACTCGGAACGGCAAGTTTGCTGCATTACACCTGTGAATCCAAGTCATGTGATGTCATGAGGCACATCCCGGACAAGCCTGCCAAGCAGCCCGCGGTCGGCAATGCAACAGCGCACACCCTGCGGCACTGAGCCTGCTGAGCCAAGCAACTGCTTAAACGGCATTAAGCAGCAAAGATTGGCAAAGCAGAATAGGCTGGCATCACAGCCACCGCATGGACAGGTGGGATTGGTGCCGCGAGTATCAGCCTAATGGCATCTCTTTGCTTGCGTGGGCGCTTGACGAGCGACCGTTGACGGGCGCTTCAATCGCAACCTCAGCATGAGCTCCTTCTCGGCGGCATCCCCACCAATCCCACCATACAAGGTCAAACAAGGGAAATGAGCTCTCAACACGATCAAACTTAAGATAGATACATCGGGTCCGATTCCCATGTCGGTCGACGTGCTTCTGTGGTGGATGCCCAAGGATTTCTGCGGCCACGTTTGCCAGACATGAATCGTGTGCTGCCTCGCACAGAACATGCATGCGCTATTCGATGAATTGATTCTTCTGGCTGGTGACTCCAGCCTGCACTGAAGATGCATTTAACCTTGCCCTCACAGCTCTACCAGGTCTGCATCACACAGCAAATGATGTGGAGAAATTCGAGGCAAAGCAGGCCTTCTACAAAGACCATCAAGGTGCCGCTGCATCAGCTCCAGTCCTGTTTCGAATGCAAAGTGACGAATTGCCTCACGAGGCCAACCTACGTCAATCTGGCAATATCTTGCAGACAGGAACAAAGACAGACACATAGACCGATGCAAAAACAGACACAAGCAGACTTTTAACTTCTGTTTGGTCAGTGCATCCATGTAGTTGGAAGGGGGCGAAATCGTCGGGGAGGAACTCTTACTACACTTCTTAGCTTGTCGACTCGGTTGTTTTTATACGTTTCTGCAGTTTAGTGCTGTCAGATTTTCAGGGTTGCAATGGAGTTTGTACTTTTCGAGTTTCGTCGGAATCTGCGAGGTTTCCTGTGCTTGGTACTTGAAACGGGGACTCAGTTTGGCAGTACTTCAATCTCGCGTGGATGAAGGAGCGGGGAGGGGGATGTGACCGCTCGGTTTGACCTACGTCGAAGAATGATGTCTCGCATCACCTGGATTGCACGTCTCGGCCTGCAGCTGAACCAGTGCAATGGCGTGCTATGGTCCAGGTTGTGCATGGTCTTCACCGCGAATCGTGGCATTGAGTGAGCACAAAGCCGGATTGCTTGGGAGCATGAGCTTCTAGTGATCGTGATGTTGAGGATGTTGATGCATGGAGTTCAATGCTGGCGTCCATGCTCGCCACACTTGTCGAGGAGGAGCAGATCAATCAGTTCGGCAGGCGATCGGTACAGCGACCGAATATCAGATTGACACGTGCAGTAGTTCTCAAGACTAGACAGCGGTCCCGAAGCTCATTAGTTTTACAATTATCTTGATGCGAGGACCTCCCGTCGACCCTTGCGGCACGTGGCTGGCATGCAGGCTATGTTCACACATATAAGCTCTTGTTCGGCCGACAAGTTCAACCTGTGTCGGCGATGCCTGCCAAGGTGATCATACAGTAGAGAGTAGAGAACTCATCTGTTGTACACTGATAACGCATGATGCCATCATTGTTCACCGTTATTGGCTACTATGAAAGTGTTACGCTGCCATGCTGTCATGCAAGGAGTGAAACCAGCAGCTGAGGATTAAAACCATAATTAAACTGTTTGGAAAGCGTGCTAGCTGGGGGATTCAGGTGCAATCGAGCTTTTCCTAGCTGTTGCTTGGTCTCAAGACGTCTGCAGTATATACAGTCATTTCACTGCAACTCAAACTCTAGCACTATTATAAGTACTGCATGAACTACAACTGTACAAGAACGTCAACACGGAAGCACTAACAGAGCAGGATTTCACAAACTGATACCATGCACAGCTTGAGGGATGATCACATCACATGATGTCGCCTGCAGGAACAAGCTATTGACCAGACCACCCTCCCCCCATGGCGCTGGTATCCAGGATGAGCCTCTGCCCCCTGCGAAAAGTTCTGTCAACGACACTTTCAATGAAGTGCATCGTGGCAGATGCACAGTAGTTTCCCACACACACACACACTGACTGACTGAGACTGTCCTCCCAGCCAGCCGCATACGCTAAAAGCTGCGAGTCTTGCCAGGCAGCGTGGGCACATGATGGCATACAGCTGCAGCACTCATGCCAGAGTGATTGTCGGAACATCTGCAGGCGTGATCAACCGTGAAGATTTGATCGAAGCAATGCATTACTCGAGCATGCAATGCTGTATTTTTGGAATCTTTTTCACGTGCCACAAGTCTACGCACTGCGTAGACTGCGTCGTCACTTATGCGGACATTGCATGTCGCCCTCGCGAATCGAGTGGCCCATGCTTGCCAACACAGAGCACAGAGCTTGCGCCTGAGCCAAAGTACCAGAAATAAACCTTAGCAATTCCTCCGTGCAAGCGTTTCCGGCCTTGTCCTCTGCGAACTGCTCCGACGCAAAAAGCGGATGGAAAATGAAACTTTTGTCAGGGTGGGTGAGCTGCACCTCGCACAGATCAAGACAAAAGCCGCCCATGTCAACGGTGCTGTGTTCCAGGTCCAACTGGTCCGAAAGAGAGACTATTGCAAGCTTGGACACTTCCACCGGGTGTGATCAACTATTCTGGTTCATCCTTAAGCCCTATGCGCTCATGGGCCACTGCCGCTTGATTGATGGCATGGAGACTGTGTTAAAGGATTGTCTTTCCCAGGATGCAATCAACGAAAGACGATTCGAGAGCTTCCATGAGAGCCTCGCGTAGCCGGTTTGTCTGCAAAGAGCGCAGCGGCAGAAGACAGACTTTGTCGGAATGCCAGGGGCGCTGGAGCCGTGCAGTCGAAGGCCTTTCCGATTTCACATGTCAAGCAGCAGACAAAGCAATAGGTAAAGAAACAAGCGCAGAACGCTTTGCATCCGCTTTACTTTGCGCACGCTGCGGCACCTGGCTGGGAGCTCCTTGGCTTCCACTAAGAGTCGCACCAGTGCCGACTGCTCCTTGGTATATTATGTATACGTATGTGTGTGTGTGTGTGTGTGTATCAAAAGCTTTAGATTTTTCCGCCGACCCCCCCGGAGCGGCATCAGTGAAATCCCCAGGCTTTTTCGCTTACGAAGTATTTACAGGTCTCCAACCCCAAGCCACCGATGCCCCTACAGCGCCCACCGCTGCTACCGGCCTGACCGCCCCCGGAATCAGGCCTCCACAATGAACCCCCCCCACCCACCCCACCGCCCTCGACCCCGTCGATGACATCCGCTTGGTCGGCTCATGAAGTAGGAAGTACGTGTCCAATGATGTGTGCCCAAACCCCCGCCAACCCCCATCGCCCTCATCGCCCTGACCGCTCTATACCGCTCTCACCGCCCCTAAATCCCACCGCCCGCCCACCACAGCTGATTAGCCTCACCGCCCCCAGCCTTGACCTTCCCCAAACCCGAGCTGCCCCCACCACCCTCACCGTTCCAGACCGCCGTCCTTTCCCTTCCCTCCAATGTGTGCCCAAACTCACAGCCCCCACCGACGTCCCCAGATTTTTCCTTTTACTTACCCCCATAGTACGAAGTATTTACAAGCCTCCAATGTGTGCCCCCTCCCGCCGCCCCCACCGCCCTCATCGTCCCCAGACCTTTATTTTAGTTACCCCCACAGTTCAATATGGAGGCGGGCACTGCGTTGCTTGAAGGTCTGGGGTTGGGGGTTGCTGACCCTGACGGTTTGCAATTTTTGCTTGCTAGCTTTGCTTTAGCAAAATGTTTTGCAAGTTTTTGAATGGGTTGCGGAAGCCCCCAAAGGGCGCGCATCATCAGCATCAGCGGGGTTCCGGCAAAGAGAGTGCGTGGCCTTGCTCCAGGCTTCTACCTGCACTGCCGTAGCCACCGAAGGGCGCACATCATGAGCATCAGCGGCCCCAGTCCGGGACCCGGGGCGCGCATCATCAGCATCAGTGCAGCACCGGGGAGAGGGGAAAAGCCCCCCCTGTCCTTGTCAGATGTTCTAGATGGTTTGCGGTTTGAAGCTCAAGTTTACATCGGTTTGTCCGGGCTGCTACTTGCGCTGCCTGCCGGTGCGCGCAGCCCCTAGTATATATGGTCTAGGACCTAGGAGTTGAAGGAATGTGTTCCAAGTCTCCCTTTGTGTTGTTGTTGGTGGTGCATAATTCAAGCCAGAATTGGATTCGACAGGCCCAGCCCCAATCTGGTGGAGCCATTCCGTAGGGGTGTATCGCACCTCGCCTAGTGTGGAAGCAACAAAGCAAACCATTCCCGAGCTGGTATAATAATTGGTATTTGGCGGTCTCGAGTCTTAACTGTTCAGGGAGCGAGATGTGATCGGGGCGAAACTCTGTCCGGAGATGTACACATCCCCTCATCTCCCCACGACGATAGCATGAGACTTCGATGGAATTCGGGACAGATGAGTCCAGTCCGGCTCGCTTCACTTCCGAAAATTTCGTGAGCATTATGCACAGGATTGCACCAAGGCACCGGAAAGTTCGAAACGTACCTCACACAAATGGACCGCCCATTCTTTATAAAACCGGGGAAACCTTTTTGGACGGGAGGGGGAGAAATCTCACCTGGTAGATAGGCCTGCAAGAGCATTGCAGCATTGGCGTCCGAGATGCATAGTACGGCTTGCAGTGATGTCGTCTGGAAAGGTTTCCTTCCCACAACAGTCTGAGCAATGTCAAAGTCCAGTTGGACCTGCTGGCAAACTGACGGAAAAAGACTTCGACTGTGCATGCAGATTGCACGACATGTCGCAACCATTTAGTCAACAGAGTCGTGGTTGAGCAGCCCACGAGTTTGCCGCGATGCAAGATTTGCAAGAGCCGGCACCGCATGGACACAGCGCTCTCGGTATTGCCTGCTAACTAATTACCTATTTGGATTAGGCGAGACAGGCCGTGCTCGACGAGGACATGGCCCCAAGGGATGCGGAGGAATCGCCGTGGACAGAGGTGCTAGGGAGCACACTTTTGTCACTTTGCTGAGGCTTCAAGTCATGCTGCTGCTCACACAGCTTTGCGTCGTTTCAAGCAGGCTTGATCTTTGCGAGCCACGTTACATAAGGAAACTCGACACTACACGGTATGCAGTATGCAGTGACTACATTTGACGAAGGCAATCCAGCATTCTGTCCATGGCGTGCAGAGAACGAGAGCACTTGGCTTCACAATGCTTCACATGTTTCGCGGACTTGAGGTGTGGGGATACCTTGCCCGTGGCCCGTAGCAGCTTTTACAGTAGATGGATTGCCAGTTGCGGGCGTCTTCTTTTCGACAATGTTGTTTGGACGGGTTCCTGAAAGCGTTCTTGCTTTCGCGGGAATTCGGACATGCGCTATACTCCACGACATTAAGCTGGCTCCACAAGCAATGCAGCAATTGGCATTTGCTCAGGCCTGGCCTCCTAAAGATCATCACGCCGCAATTAACTCGGCACTCTGCAGAAAGATCCTCCTGCAGAATGAGGTGGCGACCCTTCGCCTGACGTTACAGGAGAATCCGAATGCTTCGCCCGCTGCGCAGCACACCAGACCTGATGAATGAAACTTTCGAAGGACTTGTCTTGGTCGAGAATGGCAGCATCACCATCAAGCCAGACAACGTACTTGTAGGTTTCGGTGCTCAGCTCTCGCTTCAACAGCAACACCTCGGCATGACGCAGATAAAGATTTCAAGGGCTCCAGCGCAGCCGACTCTTCCTTGATTTCTCTGAGCTGCTTTGTACCAAGTGAACGCATCTCGAGGGGAAATGGCGGCAAGCATGTCCTCTTGGGTAAGGACTTCGCATTTAAAGCCGTAGCCATGCCTTCTGGAGTACCTGCAGTCAAGCTCTAGCCTGTACCGAAGCAACTCTGAACACCGGCCATAGTCAATCCAGCTGCTCATAGTTGACTCTTTGGCAAACAGCTCCGGGAGCATAGTTGGCTGAGTATGCCATGACCAGAAGAATATCTGTTCCTCCGCAGGCTACGCCGCTGCCAAATTCGAGGCTCGAGCTTCAGGCAATTGAGAAGCCAAGGCTGCTCAACAGGCTCATGCGCACAAAGTGCAGATGGGGGGTGCCCAGTACTCATATTAGAGCAATCCGTCGACACTGGCAAACCCTTCCAAATTTTGATGCGTGCAGACTGCCTGCAGCTTCCACGGAGCTAAATGTCCCTCATGCGCTGCCCCCTGGGGCCATTTCAAGCTTCAAACCCCATGCTCACTTGTGCTCCCGTGCAAGTTTCAGCGCCCAACGATCTGAACATTGCCTCGGCAGTCTCCTTGCGTGCTTTGGTTTCCACCGCGAGCGATGGGCAACCCTTGCGCGCGTGCGCGCTTTCTCATATGCCCGCTCGCACCCATTGTTTTGCAGCCCTTAGTCTTGCTAGCTCTTGGAGGATCGTCTCTACTGGGATTGCCAGTCTCACAAATACTTGAGGAACCCGAGTCGTCACAGATCAGCCAGACCTTTCAGAATGCTGCTTGAACCCGTGCTTTAAAACGCTCATGTAAGACATACCGGCACAACATAACACAGCTGTTGCTTCCAATGCTAGGCCCTTGTCGACAAACCTCTGGCACAGAGAAATTCAGTGGTGCCCAAATCAACTCCGTAGCTGTTGGTCCACGCGCTACGAAGCCAACTTCACGCGTCCGAGGCGAAGCTTCGGGGTGATGATGACAGCACTGTACATACAAAATGCAGCCGGCAGTCCTGCTGGCGCATCGTGATGACGAATGTCTTTCGCAGAGCGAAGTATCCCGTGCACTGTGGCATCTGGCCTCGCTGTGCTTAAAGAGGTCTGCAGAGGCGCAGAAAGTCTCCGGCCTGTGCTCGTGTAAGACTTTGAAGACAATCTCGGCATCCCGGCGCAAAACAGGACCTCGAAACGGCACCATGAATCTGAAGCTTGCAGTTGGCATGTGGGTGGTAATGGTGGCATATCCTGGCATTCGAGCTGGCTCTGTTTGCAAATGGGAGCTCGTGCTGCGAAGACTTGCGGCAGGATGAAGTTTGGTTGGACTCATGCAAGTCACATGCGTGAGCATAGCGCTATCGAGTCACGCCCAAGCCACATCGAGAATCTTTCTCTGAAAGATTCGAAGTCAAAGTTGCCAACATCTGGCATGCTGGATATTTTTGCGAATGCTGGCCCTACTGTCACGGCTTGAGAATCATCTTTCCGCAAAGGCTATGGCCTGTTGCCTGTCGCGAACTGTGACTTGCTTGGTGCTATCCGCCTTCAGCTTCCAACGCATCAAGAACCGCCGACTCTGCGACGACTTCACCCTGCGGCCAGCACAGCCATTAGGTGCAGCAAACTCCCAAAGCTTCGCGACTTCTCACAGCCCCCATGCCTCAGCATGCTTCTGAGACTGTAGAAGCGTGGCCTTTATGGATGATGCATCGATCTGCAGCCCTGCAGTTGCGTCAGATCGCATTACCGTGGAAACTGCTCATGTTGAACTGGCAGCTGTGAGATCTAGAAGTCACTGGAAAATCTGCAAGCCTTACCTTGAGCTTGAGCCACTCGCTCCCAGATGTTTTGCCCAGCTTCCGCCGCCGAGGTCGCCCCTGCCGACGGCAGCGTAGTCGAAAAGTCACAGAACAGCACAGCGACATGCACACATTCCGTGTGCGTGCAGAACACTGCGGAACAGTTCAGCCGAATCCTAAACGAAATTGTTTCATGTCTTCATCAATGCTGACACCCTCAGTACACGGGTCTCGAACATACCATCAATAGGAACTCAGCGACCACAGTGAAGTCTAGGTTCGCTTCCAGGCCCTAGTTGTCCCTAGTCCAGCGTGATACAAGGAAGCCCTCCCGTCGTTTTGGACTCTACATCATGTGTGTTTAACTTACGCCACTGAAGGGATAACGGCAGTCAACGATTTGTGTTTCGTGGGCTCCTCCGATCTGCATGTCTGGGGAGGCCAGCTTGATCGGGACAGTAGGTACAGCTTCCCTTTAATCCCCACCGCATAAGCTGCCCTAACCTCAGCCGATAACAAAAATTGACATGCCCTAGCTCTCCAGTCATGCGCACTCACTCATCACCCTGTATAAAGTCTCTACGCCGACCACGCGAGCCGAGAAGCACGTCCCAAACTACACCCGTCCCTTTGGAGACAGCTGCTTTCTGAGTAATGTCAATGTCTAAAGCATACTGTAGTTTCCAGTTTTGGTCTTTACCACCGAGGTTTGTGCAGGGGTTTAGTTCTCAGTTGAAGGCCTTTGCCTTGTTTTTCCTTGGTGTTGAGGTATGAATGTAAGATGCTGCAAGTGTGTTTCGTTCAACTGCAAGGAACAAACGTGCCAAGTCCCACACCATCCAGGCCCAGGAGTCCTCAAACGTATGAATTTCACCTTCAAACCTCCAATCCCCCCAAAAAAGCAAGAGCGCACTTATTCTCAATTCGTCGGGGGCTCAATCTAGGACAGAGTCTCTTCGTACTCTGTCCGTCCAATGCGGGGCACAAGATTCCACACTGGGCATGTTTTAACGGCCCTTCGAAAAAGTCCAGACGGCGAGTTCGAAGACGTACCAGGACCGACAGATTTTCTGCTTTCCCGGCTATGCGGCTATAACATATCCCCGAATGGATCCCTGAACGCCAAGCGCAGAGGACGAGGTAAATCGCAACGAACCACAACGCGTAGTAACCGAACTTCCATGCACAGCACTGTTACCCTCGAGCTTGTGGCGACATGTGGATCTCGTGTAGTGTAATATGGGTATGGGATTGATAGCTGCGGTGCAAGAGGGGTTTGGCCAGCTGAGCAGAAATGACAATGCTGTGAGCTTGATATCGTTGAACTATATAGTTCGAAGTTCGAAGTGAACGGCCAAGAAGCTCGACTGCAGCGGTGCTTGAACGGCCTGGGTGTCTGGTCTTACTGCCGAAGGAAGTTTTGAACTGCAGTCTCCTTTCGGACCCAATTAGCGAAACAGACTCCGATTTGCCAACAAGGATGTCTGGCTGCTGCATATGATTTGTGTGACAGGAATCCACAGTACGTTTAGGAGTCCAGAACATCTTTCACATTCTCCCACAGTGCCTCCGCCAGTCGCAAATTGCACGAAGCTCCAGCTCTCATGCAGCCCGGATGTGCGGTCCACCACACGAACCTGACATGGTCTTCTATGTTAACAGCAACAGGCGGGAACGATAGGTATCGATAGGTGTTGAGGCATATTCAACGTTCTACAGAAGCGGTCTCGAAGCAATGTAATGTAAAGCCTTTTCACATCGATTGTCTATGCATGTCTGCCTGCATGCAAGAATGCAATCAAGACCTACACGCAGAAAACAAAAACAATTCTTCGGGCACATCTCCTTGGTGCAAGAGTTTTCTCCTCATCATATTAAAAGTGCGAGCAGTGTGAGCTCAAAGAATGAAGCTGCACACGAAAGTCCGCCACAAATGTTTTGCACAACTTGACAGCTGACATTAGATTTGAAGCCCCACCTCCCCCGTCGCCACCGCGCAGAGGTCTGACGCACAGTTTTGCATCGCTTTGAGTGCTTGGAGCGGTCTCGAGAACCTTTCGGTAGCGTTGGCACGAATTGCCTCGAAAGATCGACAGCTCGTTCCAGCGTTTTTCGCCGAACCCAGGGGCAAACGAAACTCAAGAGAGAGAGGTCAAGAGAGAGAGAGAGAGAGCGAGAGAGATTTGTGCGCCGGATGCGGACATGACATGGATGACATGGCTTTCCCTGCTAGAATTTCCGGTGACTCCGGGGAAGCGGCCCAAGCATCTTCTACGTCGCCGAAAGCGCTGCAGATGTTTTGCAGAGTCGACCTCATCGGCTGTTTGGATTTACAGGTGAGTGCTACAGTACTTTGTACATCTTCTGCGACATGATCAAGCATGTGTGCGGCCTGTCGGCCAATTCCAACGGCAGCCCACGCAAAAAAACGCGGTGCGGGGAGCTGGCCTTCAGTTGCAACTTCTGGTATACATGATACAATGACATGACATGACATGACATAAGAGTACCCGGCATACAAACTTCGTATATCTTCATATATAACCGACTTGTACTGTACGACAACCAGACAAGGACAGATCCGAAACGCGGTCAATACCATCCGATTGCGGTGTGCCGACCTCTACCAAGGCGAAAGCGCTACTTTTGGGGGTCCTCGCTTCGGCCTTTCTATGCCTTTCTGTCACATGTCGGATCCTGGACGCTGAGGGTCAATAGTATTCGAAAGCAGCGGGGCGGGGCCTGGATGGCACTCATGGCAGAGCCGCTCGCGAGACATGGCCCCGACGGCAAAGCTGCGAGCGTTTAAGGCTCTCTAATCTCATACGTCGAATCTTTCTCCGCAGATCTCCGCAGCAAACTGCCTACGGCCTACATCCGTCGTCGTGCGGCAGCGAGTTTAATCAGACTTCAGTACACTTGGCAAGGCCATATTTGGACTTGGACGGACTTGGCCTGCGAGCCGTAGACGCGAGGCTCACAGACTGAGATGCGTAGGTGATATCGTAACTAAAACTGAAGTGTCAAATGACGCTGGCGGATGCTTAAGCCTGAAGGGAACACTGGATGCTCCATGTCTAGTCTAGCGTTTGCACATCGTCTTTTCACAGAAGCGATTCGTAGAAGGTCTGCGCCAAGTCTGCTACCTGGCCGAAACGCCAGGGTGTCCAGTGTCAACTTTGCACGGGGAAGTGACAAGCATCTGCGGCTCTATGTCAACGAGGCCGGGATGGATGGACGGATGGCCGATTGGACACTCGATTCATAAACTGGATCAGCCTACACATGCGTACGCACTCGTATCACCTTCTCACTTGTACAGTATGGTGATGCGACTTGCACGCCAGCCACGTTGAACGAATATACGACATGAGACGAGCGCTGATCTGCAAAGTCTCTGGTGAGTGGACTCGACAGGTGCTGAGGCCTCTTCGTCGCAGACGCCGTGAGTCATACCGGCATAGGCACGAAATGTTGTCCTGGCCCGAGCCAAGAGTTGTGTTAACAAGAACACGCTTTCCCCGCCTGAGACCGGCAGCTTCGAGGCGCGCCCGGCCCATCTGAGCTGTGCTTAGTGGCACCTTGACATTCGACAGCTTCCCCCAGACACTCCATGCATGCTCAGTCCGAGGTTGGCGCGACAGGATCTTCGGCACCATGAAAGATGTGCACCGGCACATCCTGCAGAAAGCTTCTGAATCGCAACATGTCGATACATCCGACCGCAAGCCGAAACCACGTGGTCCATCTGGGGGGTGCCTCCAGCAACAGAAATCCGGCCCCAAGGCACAAAAGCATTTCCAGCAGAAAAGTGATTTTGCAACGTTCATGTTTGCGTAGTCAGGAAGAGGGTAGTGAGGAGGTAGTTAGTTTCCGCCTCGGGTAACTTCAATCCAAGCGGCAACAATCAAGCATGGCGGATAGTGGAAGTCTTGAAGTCCCTACACTTCTGTGAAACCACGGGGGCGCAGGGTAGTTAGTGTAGCTCGCCATGTCAACTGTAGAAAAATAGTCACAGCCACATCAAAACGCATTTTAAATACCTTCGGGAGTGACCAGTCAGATGCCTCAACAGAACACGCGTCCAACAACTCCTCACAAGTCCGATATGTAAACAAGTTCGACTTCGCCTAAAGTATGACATCTGTCCGAGCCTGCAAGGCGTATTCATGCAGTGTCGAAGCTCAAACTGTCAACGATTGGGCTCACATCGGTTCTTGGGTACATCACCCGATCTTGCGCACTGATGCCACAATCTCACTGGATCAACATGCAAGATTCAACACCCGGAAGCGAGCAACAGTCCTTGAAGTTATCGGGCAATGGCTCTGCCACCTACTACCGATGGTTCTTGAATGTTCTTGACTGTGACGGCACAATTACGTGAGCTTTGAAAAGCCTTAAAACCTGTGGACTTCCAGGTTCCCAGCCCATGAACTGAGCATCAACACCTTAGCATTCCCAGCTCACGTCGCAGGCTAAGTCCATTGACCCTGGCAGCTGAAACGCCTGCCGACGTGCAAGTGTGCTTTCGACTGCAATCACTTGTCTCACTTGATCGAGAGCGTGTTCGGAATACATCATGACACGCTTAAAACAAACTGCTTGGCTTCTGGCACCACCCAGACGGCGCGGTGCACGCAAGGCTGCGGCAAGGGCCAATCCACCACCTGCTCAGCTCACGTGAACCGAATTGCTTGTGTTCAGCGGCCCTGGCGCGCGGGCACACTCGGGAACGTTTCGTGCGGCCGGGCAGAGAGCGTAGGATGGCGTGGGTGTTGGTTGCCGTGTTTGCCGTTCATGCTACATGGCACCGTTCAGGGTATTTCGAAGTTTGAAATAATATACTGAAATCAAACTTCCAGAATACTTGCTTGTCATCAAGAGCCCAGATGTCAATTCGGGAACAAAGGTCATGTTCTATTTCACTCACTGTTCCAAGACAGCATCCGGATTGCATCAACTTGCCACAATTGCCTAACTTCTGCGTTGCCATCGATGCAATCTTAGATGATCTTAGTCAATCTTAGTCTTTCAGTACAAGGAAGCTATCTGTGTTCCGGATGAGGACCTGTGTCTTGGCGTCCGAAGATCACAGGCAAGGATCAGGTCTTCGTTTGAGAAGGGTGCCTTTCAGGAGTATTTCGCCCTTCGGCGGAATCTGTGCGACTGCCGGGCAGGGTTGCAGTGGCTCAGAGGCCCGGAAAGCTGTGGCATGGGGGTCTTGGGGGGGGGGGGGGGGGGNNGGGGGGTCATCGGAATGTCTATAAGTTGTCTCTGATTGGGGTGAAGCAGTTATGCCAAGATGGGGGGCGTTTAGAGTAATAAGCTGCAGCCCAAGTCCGCAATCCGGGTCCGGACAAAGCTTGGTCCTTTGAGGGCTCCCGGGATTGGGGCTTGCTGTATGTTTCTTCATCTTTTTGTGCGCAGATGCTCTAGAATTTCGGAGTTTGAAGCTTTTGAACCCCCCTTGCAAAATCACCTCAACCATCAGGGATTCCAGCCAGCTGTTTTCCCTCCCCAGTGGCTCTTTCCCTACCCGTAGTTTCACGACCGTGCGAGTACGCATGGGAACACAAGCGGCTGAAAAACCCAGAAACCCTAAACCCCTA